CCATGCTCCTGCTCCATGATCAACACCACTGGAGTGAGCAGGACTGAAGCCATGTTGGGACCTAAAACTACATGAGCTCTAGAAGATTTTAAAAGACAATTTTTTTCTTTTCTTAGCATGCAATTCTGAGTTGCCTCTTTTCTCATGGTTATTTGATATTTTGAACCTTGGTTATAGGGCAAGATGACATTATTTACATAAATGTAAAGTTGTTTTCCAGTCAGCCTGTAGCTGCAGACTTGCCACAAGTCATATGTTATCCAGACCTTGAGAAACCAAGGAAGACATCAGTAAAGCTATGTTGATTCCACCCCAAAGCAGGACCCTGAGATAATATCAAGCATGGGAACAGAAAAAGATGGAGCCTCGGCCAGACCTTGCACCTGGCTCCTTGCATGGAGCCCCCACAGCTCATGCCCCCCTCCCTCCTGCTTTTCATTTCCCACGTTCCATTCCTTCAACCCCCTCTTTAAAAACCCCTCAGTAAGTCTGAATCTTTTAGATGATTTTAGCCCAGCCAATCTCCTTCAGCTTTACCAGAGAGATGGGTGAGTGTAACATCTCTCCTCGGGTCAGTGGTATTTCTGAATAAAAGCTGACTTCCATTTTCACCAACCTTTGACTTTTGGGTCATTTGTTTTGTTTGGGGCAGGCCTGGGTTTGGTAACAGGCAGGGGCAGCCCTAGGCAAAGGTTTCCTCAGCTCCTGACATGTTGCTGGTTCTCTCCTTTCCGCCTCCAATCCACAAAGCCCTAAAGGCCTTTAGCTGTTCTGGGGTAGTGCCCCACCCCAACCAGATTTTCTCCGGAGAGTGAAAGAAAGCTGAAACTGACCAGTGTTGAGTTCGATTTTGTTGAGGCCAGCTCTTTGCTGGCACTGCTCTAATTAAGTAATCAGAGCTGACCTGCTAATGTCTTAGAGCACTATTTCTCAAGGCACTACCCCTCAGGGATATCTGTATTTAAAAACTGCCTGTCTTAGGTTGGGCTCCCCAGAAACGGATGCTGAGAGAATTAAGATACAAATGATTTGTCAAAAAAGTGCGTCCAGGGGAAACTGGTAAGGAAATCGGGAAGCAGGCCAGAGAAAGGTTCAAGGAAGCAGGCCCAGGCAAAGTCCTACAGAAGTATTCGATCTGATACTGCAGGGAGCTCTGGAGGGTAAGTTATGCCTCAGAGTTTGTCCAGAGCTGAGGCAAGGAAATAGCTTCCAGACTCTGGCACCCTTCAGTTGTCAGTTAAGGGCTGCAGGGGTGGAACCTCCCCGGCATTTCTGACTCTCCATGTACATGTGACCAGATGGGTCCAGTAGCCCAGAGTGGTCCTGCAAAGAAAAGTAACACATATCAGAAGTCAAAGCACACTGAGGCTGGCGGAGGGGCAGTAGAAGTGACCCTGTGGAGCACCAGACATGTCCCACCCTGCCAATCAGGGGCTTATCTGCAAAGAACAAATGATGGGAGAATTCTAGGTGACAGGCAGGTGCAGATGCTTGGGGCTAAGTTAACCACCCAAGCCCCTGAAGAGCCGATGCACATCAGCCTGCGGTTCCTGATTAGGATACTACTCCTGCCTCTTGATTTGCTCTTTGCTCCTGGGCTCTCTGACCTCTCCTTCAAGGCCTTTGGCAGGATGCCTACAACCAAAGGTCTTTGGGTTGCTCAGCCCTCCTGACAGAATGCAGACAGAGCTCACCTCCAAGCCTGGGGAGTGTGTG